TCATCACTCCCTGAATGTGCTGGTTTAGACAGTGACCATTCCATGATGCTCTTCTGAGCTAGCTGTCCTGTGGAACAATAGAGGTCTTTCCTTATACGGTGTGTGCAGTGTGGGGTGTTGAGAGGGTCCTATGGAAACTGGGGTGTCTAGGGGTTTAGAACTAATAAGCTGGACCCCACAGACTTGTACACCAAAGTCCATTGCAGCATAATTGCCTAAAGGTAGAAACAACCTAAATGTCCATCAGTGGATGAATGGATAAACAATTTGTGATAAATACATACAATGTGATACTATTCAGCCAGTAAGAGACATGAACTCTTGACACACACTACACTATGGATGGAGCTTGAAGATATTATGCTGAGGGAAATAAATGAACTACAAAAGGACAAACATTGTATGACCTCACTTACATAAAAACACAAGAACAGGTAAAAGTATAGGAACCAAAGTTTTTTTAGAGGTTCTCATGGGTGGGAGGGAGGAAGAAGGGGGCCGTTACTGCTTATGGAATACTCAGTTTTGATTTACAGTGATGTGAAAAATCACACTGACAAAGGGTATGGCTGCACAGTTGACTAATGTAATTGCCATCAGTAAGTTGTAAACCCGTAGAAAGCCAAATTGGCAAAAAGTTGTGTTATAAACAGCCTACAGGAACCATGGCATCATCTATCCAGAGACCAAAAGAACTAGATGGTGCTCAGCTACCACCACCAATCACTCTGCTCAGGGACACAATAGGTGGTCATGGAAAGAATGGGGGAAAATCGTAGAAGAAGCCTCTGATTCGTAGTTTTTCTTTCTTTCTTTTTTTTTAAAGGCCACATTTATCATTAAAAAAAGCCAAGGTTTGCTGGTCTGATAGAGCCTAGAGTGACCCCTGAGAATATGGCCCCTAGCTACTCTTCAGGTCTGGAATTGAACTCACTCCTGTGGCTTCCAAACAAACAACAGAGAGGCACATGGAGTGATCATTTACATCAGGTAGATACACTACTTGGAGAGATCAATTATGGGAGAACAGAAGGGCAGTGATTTCACAGGGAGACAACTCGGGGGGCAGGAATGCATAGGTAAGAAGGACACAAGAAGAGTTAACTACGGGGAGGAAGTGGGAAGAGAGGTGTTACACGGTGGAGAATGGCAGTCAATGTCATGAGACAGAATGTGTATGAACAGCTATATGGAAAATGAATTTGCTCTGTCAACTTTCCCTCAAATCACAGTACAAATTAAAAAATAAATAAAGGCTATACTTAATGGATTGTAGACACTAGAGGAAACCCCAAGACTACTGTCTTAAGACAGCCTTTTCAACTTGGAACTGAAACTACTCCTGGAGGTCACCTTTCAGCAAAATAAGATTGGTTCTTAAAACAAACAATATAAGCCGTGAGTCCCGTGCTCCTTTACAATTAAACAATCATCTATTTGAGACAAATGCTCAGCATTTACTCTACAGCACAGATGAGAAGGTCAGGAGAGACAGGGAAGCTGAAGTGATGGAGGCGGAACAACCAGAGCGGAAATATGGAGAATGCTGACACAACGTGGAGAACGTAACCAACGTCACAGAGTAACGTGTATAGAAACTATGACACAGGAACCTAATCTGCTGTGTAAACTTTCACCAGGAATTCAAAATAATTATTAACAATAAAAGTACTTTATCTCTTTTTATGTTCCGTGCTCCATGGTGTATGTGACAACATGATGTTGTACAATAAGTAATGTGATGGATACCATTGTATTTTAATCCCTTTGAAATGAAATTTGAAATGATTCTGTAACCATGTTAGTATTTATCAACATTGAACAAATCCAGTCGGGTCATGGAAAATTATTCAGAGCATCTACATTTTATTAAGACTTCTGAATGTTCATTCATAAGGGATATTGGTCTACAGAATAACTACTTAGAGAAAAATGGAAAATATCACAGCTAAACTTATGAAATATATTTAAAATACAACGAAGTATCTGCCTTATGTGAAGATCACACGGAAGAGCTATAATAGGATAGCACAGTAGTAACCACCAATGTCAACCTGGATTCCTACGTTGAAATACTGATTCTACTTCTATTTAGATGAGTCCCGTAACCTCTCTGTGGTAAATTCTCTTTGACCAAGGAGAATAGTATTAACTCAGACCTGACAGAGTCATGACTATTAAGTACTTAGAACACATGAAGAGTTAAATACAGTGACCAATACATTGTGTGTGCTGCAAAAAGCAACACAGCAAATCTTGGGACTCTCTTAACAAAAGAAAATATACTTTAGAAACCAGTTCTCAGGGTGAACTAAGTATGTGGACAATTCTGGATTTTGTTTTCTGTGGACAGTGTAATCTACAGCTCATGTTTCCATGCAGAACCTCTGCTTGTGAATCTGAATATCAAGCCTGGAAATGACAGGTCTTTAATAACCGCTTACATTTGAGCTCTTACCTTATTCACATTTTGATATGGTCCCACCTACCTGGGTATTTTGCTACTTTTTCCTTCCCCTCCACAGTCCAGCACTCTGTCCCTTGCTCCAAAATGGAGATTATATTCAAGTCAGAAACTGAGATTCCTGCTTATTTACAAAACAAACAAACAAAATAAGCATGCTGTACTACAGCTTTTCGAGGATAAGATCCAAAGTGTTTCTTCAGTCAAGAAGAGAGAACATCACAGATGGGTCTTGACAAATATTTCAACACTTCATGCACTACCTGCCTCCTTCTGAGTGCTTAGGGAATATTTTAAATACACCCCCTCCTCACTTATGTACATAGTTAGGTTCCAGAAGCCAGGGTGTTATGTGAAATTAGCATTATGGGGGAGTTGGGGGCCATGACCCAGCTTCAGCCGTGGTGTCTCATCTCCCCACCCCCAGAGGCTCACTGCCCATCAGGAGCCCTCAACACATCTCGGGTCTCTTCTAGGAACTACTGAATGAGAACCACAGGAGAAGATCCAGTAAATTGGATATTCTTAAAGCTTGCCTTGAGACACTGTCTTTAATGCAAGTTCTGAAACCACCCCGATCAAGGGTGAAGCAGGAAGCCCACAGGAGAGAAGGGAAGGCTAAAGTCCAGATGCAACATCGGAAGGCTTTTCATTTCAGGCTCTGCCTTAAGGACCAGGATCTGAAACCCCAGCAAGGAGGGCAAGGGCTTCCAAGGGCCTCACAGGGGAAAATGCCAAGATTCACAAGGGGAGACCCTGACTTCTGGAGGGAAGCTGTGCTCACCGAGCGAGACCAGGTTCCTGTAGTTCTCCAACATCACGTCCCTGTACAGAGCCCTCTGGGCAGGGGCCAGGCATGACCACTCCTCCTGAGAGAACTCTACGGCCACATCCTTGAATGTCAACAGTCCCTGCAATAGGAAACACATCTCAACTACTGAACAAGGGAGAGTTCTTTTCACACAAAGTAAGAGGAGGAAAGCGCTGTAAGAATAAATTTGGCTGATGTCACTGTGCTCACAGAGCCACCTAAGATAATTTTCAGCAAGTTGTATGTCTCCAACAACTATGTTTTATTATAGTTTTCCATTAAGAAAATATGAAATCCAATACATCAATGTTGATTTCATTTTTGTAAACAATAAAAGAAATATGGTAAAGCTGGTCTATAGAGAGGAGCTCTGGTGCTTAAGGCATTTGACTGCTGATCAGAAGGCTGGCAGTTCAAACCCACTAGCCACTTCCCGGAAGAAAGGTTGGGCAATCTATTTCCATAGTGATACTGCCTCGGAAACCTAAGGAGGGGTCACTATGAGTCGGATCCGAATCCACAGCAGTGTGTTTGGTTTTGGTTTTGGTTTGGTCTATAGAGACTACAGGGATGTCAAGACACAAGTGTTAAGATACTGAGTCTGTACAACAGGTGATACTCGGTTTTTCAGGTAAGCCAGAGCAGGTGTGTTGCCTTCAGGTATGACCAAGTCCACAGCTCTTTCAGAAAGGTCACAATCAAAGAATCATCATGATGGCAGGAACAGCAAAGACTAGAAATTTCTGGACATTTACCATGTGCTAAGTGCAGGTGAGGGAACCCTGCTGGCACAGTGGTTAAGTACTCAGCTACCAACCAGAAAGTCAGTGGTGCAAACCCACCAGCTGCTCCATGGAAGAAAGATGTGGCAATCTGCTCCCTTAAGATTGCTGCTGTGGTCAGGTGCTGTCAAGTGGGCTCTGACTCACAGCGACTCCATGCACAACAGAATGAAACACTGCCCGGTCCTGCCCCACCCTCACGGTCACTGCTATGTTCACAGCCACTGTGTCCATCTATCCTACTGAGAGTCTTCCTGTTTTCTGTTGACCTTCCACTGTACCAACCATGCTATCCTTCTCCAGAGACTGGTCTCTCCTGATAAAGGGTCCAAAGTATGTGAGATGAAGTTTTGCATACTCACTTCTAAGGACCATTCTGGCTATAACTCTTCCAAGACTGATCTGTTCATTCTTCTAGTAGTCCACGGTTTACTCAATATTCTTTGCCAACACCATAATTCAAATGTATCAATTGTTCTTCGGTTTTCCTTATTCATTATCCAGCTTTTTTGCACATGTATACGAGGTGATTAAAAACACTATCACTTGGTTCAGGCGTACCTTGGTATTTAAAGTGATATCTTTGCCTTTTAACACTTTAAAGAGGTCTTTTACAACGATTTGCCCAATGTAATATATCATTTGATTTGACTGCTGCTTCCATAGGTGTTGATTACAGATCCAAGGAAAATGAAATCCTTGATAACTTCAATATTTTCTCTATTTATCATGATGTTGCTTATGGGTTCAACTGTGAGGATTTTCGTTTCATGTTGAGAAGTAATTTATATTGAAGGCTGTCGTCTCTGAAATTCATGAGTAAGTGCTTCAACTCGTCTTCACTTTCAGCAAGAAAGGTCATGTCATCTATATATCTTGTCAAACAGGCACGGCAGTGGCATCTGATCTCCTTCAATTTCTTAAGAGGGGAAAGGATCACCATCAGCATTAACAGCCCACGGCTGATTCCTGTAGGCGAAGGTTAGACATGCTGCCACCCTCCAAACTTTTTACCAAATCTGACACCAACTGTCCCTCCCGTGGCACTCTCTACTTCTTTTCTGGGTTTAATAATTCATCGCAATGGCGACAGAGAACTCACAGACAATGCTCACAATTATGGAGTTTATCAAGAAAGGAGCAGATGATAATTTAGAATCAGGAATCCTCAGGACAGTTCTTAATCAAGACAGTCTCCCCTCAGCAGGGGCACATGCACACTTCTCTCTGGCCGCAACTCTGCCCTGCCCAGGCCAAGTGCTACAAAGCTCTTCTGGGTGCTGTGAGAAGCACCCCACTCCACCAGTGCGCCCCGTGCCTAAAGGGATTGTTTCTTGCTCTGTGGGCCAGGAAGCCCAACACTTGTTTCCTGCTGGTCTCTTGGTTCTACCCCATGCTGCTGCCATTTCTCCACAGCATCTCTCACCACTTCTCACTGTCTCTCGCTTTCTCAGCCAAGTGTCACAGCTCTCCGTCTGCCTCTTGGGTCAAGAAAGTTCAGCATAGGATCTCAGGTCCAAAGGGCATGTTCCACCCCTGACTCTTCTTTCCTGATGGTAGTGAGTGCCCGTTTCTGCCTCTGCCATGGGTCATTTCAAGCCTCATGGATGACAAAACTGACCAATCCCCACATTAAGGTTTACTACATAGTGGCTAAGACACTTGCCTGCTAACCAGA